TGGATTTATTTGGATTTTCCTTATCTTCAAAAGCATCTTTTTTGAATTTTATCCCTTAAAAACATTTATATGTGCAAGCTTTGCTTTGCTTTTTGTGGCTAAACCTCTATTTTCTCTCACCTTTCTGTCTTTGGAATCGACTTTATTTAGATTAGAAACTAGCATCCTAGGACATGCTTATGGTCTTTAGTCCCCACAATTAAGTTTATTAAGGGTTCAATCATATATTTGATTCGAAAGAAAATGTTTGTCTATTATATTCAATCTCGGTGAATAAAATTTATTCGTTTTGAATTCATACAAATCCAATTGCCTCATACCCTTTTTATGGCTAGACTTGAAACTTGTAGTGCGATAATCATGAACGTAGGACCAGGAATTATGAATGTTGAGCATGGAACTTGTATTATGTATGTCTATCCTCAATTCCAAAGCCACTTAGCATTTACATAGTGCTCAATTCCCATTTCTGATCCATCATTAGAGCAATGGCGAGTGCAGGTAAATGAATGCTGGGGCAACGATATGATTGGTTCTTACCCTTTGTTGGATGCATGCAGTTCAAAGTGATAAAATGACTTGGATTTTAAATAAGTAATCCGCAGGATGGGTGAGTGGCTTAGTTTAGGAAACAACATATTATCTACATAGACTTTATCTCATAATTCTCATTTATAGTTTTTTTTTTTTTTGGGAGGGGATGAAAATTTCCTTCATTATGTTAATGTGGTATTGGCTATCATTTTTGTTGCAGCAGCATGACTGTCAAGTAATCACTGCTTTACTGATTTGAATTCCCTCTTTACTGAATTGAATTGATCGGTCCTACAATATGGGTTCACAAAAGTTATGGGTTTTGGGCCAATTCATTATTGCTATAATTGGTTTGATTATTAGGAGTTGTTTAGTGCATTATTAAAAAGAAGGGCAAGACGTACACAAGAGAGAACACCTTCTTGAATACAAAGGAGTTAATAGAGGAGAAATACCGATTGCAATTAGTATGAATCATTTAACACATAATAAAAAATGGAAATATTAGTGAAATGTAACTTATTTACACAATTACACAGAACCCTACAAATTTTACTCTTATAACACAAAAAAGAGTTCAAATTATTTTTCAACATGTACTGATTCACAATGAATAAAAATCAAAATCCTTTATATCTATCTATTTTCACTCTTCTTACTTTTACATATTCAAGAAAAAAAAAAAACTACTAGTTGCAATATTTCAAGTGTGCTAATCTATATAGTTATATATGTGACTGAGGTTGAGTTTGGAATAGAATTTTTTAGGAACTAAATGCAAACCACATGCATAACTATGCACCCTTTGTGAATCAAAATCTTACAATTAGTACTGCTCATAGTTTGATATTGGTGATTATTCTGCTAAAAAATTTTCTATTAAACTACATAGGCCCATCTTGACATAGATGAGTTATTCGAGGAAGTATTATTCCGACAAGAGATTTTGCTGACAATGTAATATATTGCCATAGTCATGGGGAATCTTAGCATTACCTGCATAAAAACTCAAGCGGTCACCGAAATAACCTAACACACCATTGGAGAGAGAATAAGAATAATGTCACTGTTTGAATGTTTGAAATTATGATTCATGAATACTATCCCTTCAGGAATTGTCAAAGGAATAGAGTCACTGTTTATGTTACGTGTTTAGGTCTAAACCATGAAACAAAATGCTAGCCTTTTAAATTGCCATACAGCGCATCATCAACCCATTTTTTCTTTTTGTCATTATTGTATTATAGCACCAAAATCAAGGGAAATGGTTACATCAAAATTGACATGCATGTGGAAGACAAAGTCGACAAATTCCATCAAATAACATAGCAGTCTACCGTCAATCCCACTTGAAATCCCACTACTATTTAGTTTCATCGGACTATTGATGTGGGAAATATTCTCATATCAAAATTGATTCAAAAGTCAAATATTTTATTAAATAATATAATGAGATGCGTATAAAATATACCTATGTATGGGGTGGTGTACGATTTGTGCAAAAATCAAGGTGCTGCAAGGTACTAGCACGTTATGTGCAACTTGTAATGCGCAACACATGGTAAACATGCAGATACTTGGACATAAATCACTCGTCACTCCATGAATGACTTGAACACACATTTATATATATATCTTACAGTATTATTTTGGCAAAATATATAACTTCTGAGTCAACTAAGAAAAATATTCTTCCCAGGTTCAAAAGACCTGCTTCATTCTATATTTCCCCTGCAATTCCTATGTATTATAGGAGCATTTCCTACATTGGCCACAATAATATGTGAAGAGTTGGACTGCTCTCAAAAATCTCGTGTCTGCTACTCTGTTTTATATTGGGGATCTAGCAGGCATCACTTTCAAGCACTGTCCAAGGTTATGGCTCTCTAGGTCTTCGAGGAAGATTCCACAGAATTAGCACTCAGGTCAAATTGATGGAAACCCTTCACCAGTTACTAAATCTATCATCGAGTATTAAATGATGGTAGTTCAGTTAGTGCCAGGAAACTGAGTATGTGAAAGTGAGAGCATATGTTCGATCCTTTCCAGCACCGTCTTTGGGAGGGGTTTAAAGCCTTAATCCCTGGACCCCCACCCTGAATCGAATTAGTTGTGAAGCGATGAACCGTCTCAAAAAAAAAAAATCTATCATTGAGACGAAGACTAGAATTTTTTTGCCGCTGCTTGTTTCCATCATGCCACTCAATGAGATTTGGAATCTATGAACTCTTTTCTTTTGTTTAATTTAATAAACTGTAGCTGCCATTCAGGCCAGAATTGCTTGAGGTGACAATAAAGGATTGCAAAGAATCAAATCATTCTAAAAAGTTGAAATTTATCTCAACTTAAATGGTGTGAGTGGGAATTTAAGGAATAGTAGTATATCAAATTATAATAATGACTTTGATGTGAAGTTAGTTATTATTAACAGATAGGAAAACTCACAAAGCAAACCACGTTCAAATTAATAACATATAACTGGTTTTTAAAAGGCTTTAACGTTGAGACTAAGACCAAGTTTAGAAAGATCGAAGCAAACTTAACTTGAGCACTATTTTGTTTTCCATGACTAGCTACAAATAATATCAATCAAATGCTAACGCGAGTGTGTATAGCAAGTACTGCATATTTAGGAATTGTTCTCTCATAAATTCAATTACTTTAGGGTACAACTACCCTTATTGTTAGCTCTCTTTTTGACGCGTGTGTAACCCACGAAGGCCTAACTACACCTTATATTTTACTTGGAAATTGGACCACACACTACAATGTGCCTAAATATGCTGTTGACGTTTCAGAGACCAGAGAATCTATTATAGGTAGTTAAGTATGTAACGTCCCTGTCCTCACAAGTAAATTAGAAAGATGTACTACATGTAAAGTTAGAAACACAAGGGCTAGAATAGAGACAGAGAAAGCGATGAAGAATGTGAAGTTTTCTTGATGAGCACAATCAACATCAGTCTTTGCTCCGCGGAAAATCTTGTTTAATTATACTTTTTTTTATCAATCCTTCTGTTATCTGCATTTTTTTTTATAGATTTTTTCTTTTCATTTACAAATCGATTGTAAGATTTAAAGGACTTATTTAATACAGTTGATTGAGTAAAACAATATCGAGGTTTAATAAAAAAAGAGTTCAATAGTTGTGCTATTTTTAACCACTATTTGATGTTTTTAAATTCATTCAACACGTAATAACATTACTTAGTAGACAATTTACCATTAATAGTAGTTACCATCAAAATTTTCCAATTTAATATATCACATTATCACCATACTACTAGAATTTTGTTCAGCTTTATTAGGATCGAAGGAAAAAGTACGTGAGTTGATATGCATAGGATATGCTTTAGATAAGAAAATAAAGGCCTCGAAATTTGTATGCCCTGAACCTGGGCATTGCCTTTTAAAAGTGAAGTACGTTTAGTATTGTAACAAATTATGATGGAACGTACCAAAGCAAAACGAAAAATTAAGGGTGGTCACTTATTTTCTTTCTTTTTACACGTGCTCTCACCTTTAAATCCAGTGACATGTAAAATCATATCTACTACCCGTACTTGTGGTCAAAATGCTGTGGCACCGGAGGCCGGAGCAACCACATGCTTCACTCTCCTCTTCTGATCAAAGTGGATTTTATAAGGACATGAATTCATAAATAAAGCTAAGAGGGGGAGATTCTCATCATCTGCCAAATCAGGTCAACTTGGTCTAGGTCTGATTGAATTCAATTTTTCCTTTTGCATGCTTTCCATTACTCGAGTATGCTTGAGTGCGATTCATAGACCCGCTAAATTTTCTCAGAACATTAACAGTCAGGACTCAGGACCTCAATCTGGCTTCACTTTCAAATACTTATTATCTGTGTCTTTCATTTAGTAATATCTTTAACAAGCAAACAAAAGAATTAATAAAATCAACTTAAATCTGGCAAGAAAAAAGAGATTCTTAGCAATAGCTGCAGCAAATAACTTAGCGGATTCCCATCCAACGTTTACATAATTAACCAGCTTTATGTGTTTGGCTACATCCTTATCTTACAAAGCAGACATCCCCATCGTGAATAGATTATTGTCTATAAAATGTAAAGACTACTCAAATAGCATTTTAGTATATTGTCTATAAAAAGTAAAGAGTACTTGAATAGCATTTTGAAATATTAAAGCAGAAGAAAAGAATCCCTCTTTAACTCCCATCCCATGTATACAAAACGAAAAAGGAAAAAGAAAAAAGAAGAAGGAGCAAGCAACCACAGAATTTAACATATGCAACCACCAAAACATCATTGCACGCATCACAAATAATGAGATAGATAAACCAAGAGACATACGGAATATCTTTAGTGTATCAATGAATAACGAAAAGAATGATTAATGAAAAATAATTCTATCTCACATATAAAACTTGAAAGAAATAAATCAATTTTGATTTTACAAAATCCAAAAGTTTCTTACATTACGCACGTAACCGAACAAAGGACTTCTACTATGTTACCACAAATTCGGTAACTTACAGGCATGTGGCAATAGATGCACTACAATAAAGAAACATTGTCTTTTCTCTCTCTTCCTCATTTTGCATCTTAAAAAACCCCTCACCTTCCACAACGACACTCTGATTCTGTATCAGTTTACCAAGCACTCGTATATTTCTAACTCAACTTGCTTAATCTGCATTGAAAACTCCTAAACAGAATAGGGAGATTTCAATGAAAATTTTAATAACACCTATAGTGATTGCCAAGCAACAGAATAGGGAATGCAAAAGTTTACAGATCACGGAGCTTTTTACATTCAAATAGAACACATCCGTCACATGTATAACTCTTCATTTAGCAGCTTGTGCATTTTTGCCTCCACAGAAGGAGGAAGACGATCCAAGTAAGCCACGAAGACAAACTTCCATGATTGGCTTATTTGAGTATTAGGCCACAAAGAATATGAAGATCATCAGGAAAAGTATAAGAACGGCAAATATCTTGATTAGAAGCCACCTATTTGATGATATTTGATTGAGATGCCTCAATAAAGAGCTGTGAGCTCCTTCAACATTAGCCAATGACTCATCCATGTTGTCATCAATCCTGCCATGCCAGTTAGGCAGATTTAATGCTAATTGCTAAAACATGTGAACATCTATAGCCTTCATATACACTGATATTTTGTGATTCAATTTTTTAAAATACACCAAAGTCTTAAGTAAGGGGAGGAAAAAGTACTGCACCGCAGCAATCTACAAGAATCAAATTCAAGTAAAAAACGAGAAACCTGATAGCTAGTTCCCCTTGATGGGCAACCATCGTAGCCAAATGCGTGAAGATCCCGCTAAGTTCTGTGATAGTAGACTCCACATTGTGCAGAGAAGTTGCCCGACTTTGAGCATAATTTTCTTGCCGAGGAACAACCTGCTGTACCATAGACATTTCCATTTGCTGGGATGGAGTGTTATCCACAGCTAACCTTCGTCTGATCAGCAAATTTACCACATGTTTTAGCTTAAGTTAGAAAAAATATACGTCCTAAGCATATCTAGAAAATTTAAGCAAATTATAAGCAAAAAGCAACACATCTCTAGAACCTAAGAAGAAAAAATTACCAGAGCATTCATTAGCTTGGTTAGGTGTTAGAAAAACATTGAGATATAACAAGCTCCAAAATGAATGATCGCGTTAAACAACTATCTTTTTGTGACACTCTGGTAATTACTCAGTCAATTTATGCAGGCGAATTATAAGTGGCAGAAATAGAAACATCAACATATTCAAGGCTTTAAATAGGTGTTATTCTAATTTTTTAGAAAAACTATAGGGGAATTATGGCAAGCAAATTACTCTGTAATTAACATAACAGGTGGCAAGATATCTATTTAATTAAACTCAGTAAATATAAGAAATAAAACCCTTGTACTATGTGTTGAAAAACAAAACAAAAGGCAAACCTAATATTTCGATGATTATAGTAACTGACGTGACTTCTATAATAAACTTACCAATGCAATAATCTACCAGATGAATAGAGGATTCAAGAGACAGTGTGTGAAATAATAAACATTATCTAGTTCATAATTGAATACTTTGAATACAACCATATCAAATTAACTAGGAAAAATAACTTACACCAATCAAAGGATCATTCTTGTTGGGAAAAAAGTTCTAATTCATTCATGCAACACCCAGAGAAGATCAGTCATGTACACTAATAGAGATAAGGATGCTCAAGTAAGTTTGAACTGAGAAAAGAAATTCATGACCCTGTTTGACAGAGCCTCCACAGTCTTAGAAACCTAAGTGGTTATACTTATCTCAATATAAAGTTCAGCTAACTTCCTACTACTCACATTATTGGGTTAATATGCTGACTACGGAAAGGCTTATCAAAGTCTATAACCACTCCCTCATTATCAGGTTCGTATTTGATTATGCTTCTTGCAGAATGAGGGAATGATGAGCGAATACCTAGTATCCATCACCACATAATCACAAAGGCACATGCACTCAAAAGAATTTAACATCAAATACAGTTAGAGATTTATGATCCATGAGAACAAAATGAAAGGCACTTGTTTTTACATGAGTGCTAGTTTGAGGTGCTATTTGATTTTTTAAGACAGAAATAACACCATGCTATAGAGAAATGTAGTAGGGAAATTTTGATCTTATAGGAGCATTAAAAGAAAATTTAAACAAACCTGAGTTGATTTCCAACTGGAACTCCATTTGACGGTGATCTGCATGAGAGATATATAAATGTATAAATCATTTTCAGGTAATTAACTTTCAGAGGCCTATCATTTTTAATATAAAATGAATAAATAAAAGATCCACATAGATCAAGTATTATATATATATATTCAGAAATAACAATTTTTGAAAGAGACAAAAATAAATAAATAAATTACACGGTCAATCTACCTTCTGATTTATAAGTATTAAAAGTATCACCATTAAATAGAAAACTGTGATTAGCTATGTCATAGTTCATTTTAGGTTTCCACTTTAAGTGACAACCCAGACACATGTACATTGCCAAAACTTGTGATTGCCACATTTCAAAGATGCCATAAAATTTGTTAGTGATAGAAAAGTAATAGAAACTGGATCAGAAATGTCAAGAAACAGGTAAAGAACAATACTCTCTCTTACCTCAGGATTTGGATCAGAATTACAGTAGAATTCAAGCTTTAGTATGCTATTGTGTGCATTTGGGGGTTGGGGGGGGGGGGGGGGGTATTGATAGTCAGCAAAAAAATTTCTATAAAATAAAATCTTTAATATTTCAACTGCATTATGAAATTATAAATCATGTAAAGAGGGATAAAACGAAACAAGAAAATTTTAGTTACATAAGACCCATGCACCATCATAATCGTATACACATGGTCAGATTGATCAACCCATAATACAGAACTCAGACGCAGTCAAACCAACAAATGACAACAAGAGTATTCATTCAAGAATAAGAAAGTTTCAATTTCCAAAATTTGGATAAACCAAAGCTAACCCCTAACTCTTTACAGAAGCAGAGTAGATAAGTAACCACCACACAGCCACCCGGTTCTTCAATATTCATGTTTGCACACTGTGCCAGATTCCCTAAATTTACATTCATGTCATGGCATAATAACAAATGTTAACCTATAACTAGAGAAAATTTACTCACGCTGATGTTTGTTGCAAATCCTCAGATGCATTTGATGAATTTGACCAAGGAGGAGGCTCGGTGGCTGGCTTCATCGGATGCTGGAAAGGGTTCTCTCTCGATGCATTCTTGGAAAATATCTGTTTCCTATTCTCATGAGCCTTGATATTCTGGGGCATGTACATGCATTATACAATATTAATATAAGGGAGGAGAAAAATAGTGAGGCATAGGATAAGCATAAATAAATTAAATAAATAAAATGAGTTTTTGATTAAGCAACCTCTGTCCTAGTAGTCAATACATCTTGAAGGTTCTTTGTGGCCCCCATAAGCTTGTTCTTCAAGTCATCACAAACTGCAGTTGAATGCACAATCATATCATCCGAGTAATTGCCATCAGCTATACCCATGTTCTGAATTGTTTGCAAATCCGAAAGAGCTGAGTTCAACGCCGTTATGTCGTTCTTAATCAAAGCTGTCAATTCTTGTATCTCCACAATCGGATCATTAAACATGGATGATTTCTTCGCCACTGCAACCAACCTCACACACATTACCAAAAAATCAAATTCAAGAGAGAGGAAAAAAAATAGGAGATGGTATGGTATTACTTACGCTGAGCGAGCCTCGCAATTTTCTGAGAGGTTTCATGGATTCCCAACCCGATTCGTGAGGCTTTCCGGTTGAATTCGGATCTGGAATGGGATGTAGAGGGAGCATTTTCGGGTTGATTTGGGGGCGGCCCCGGCGCAATCTTCTTCTTCAGAGTCTCAGACAATGACCGGAACTCCGACGTGCGGTCACGATAAGTGGAAGCCATTAGAGATTGATTGGTTTCAATTCCAAGATCTCATGAACATAGAAAAACACAGAGAGAGACACCATTTTTCACCCTTGAATCGAATTTGGTGACGTGTCAACAAACGGGTCCCACCAGCATGCGAGCTCTGTTGCAAGATGTTTGGGCCTTGCCCAAATAATAAGGCCCAAAATATCACAGCCGTTGGATCTAGGGCTCTCTTTTTTTTTAGCGCTTCTTGTTGTTGTTTGGAGTGGTTCAGTGAATGCGAGTGGGAAGAGAAGAGCAGGAATGGCGGGGAAAGTGGCGAAGGCAGCTTACGATGCGAAGATGGGGAAGCTCCTGAGAGAGTACAATCAGGTGGTGGTGGTTGCATCAGATAATGTGGGGTCGAACCAGCTTCAAGGGATACGAAGGGGGCTTCACGCTGACTCGGTGGTTGTGATGGGGAAGAACTCTATGATGAAGCGCTCAATCATGTTGAATGCTCAGAAGACCGGCAACAAGGCCTTCCTTAACCTTGTTCCCCTTCTTGTGGTATGCTAACTCTTAATTAACCTCAATCCCTTGCTACCTCAATTCAACGTTTCTTTTACCAGAATATAAATTTTGAAAGAAAAGAAAAGAAAAAGAATAAGCTATTTCATTGGATTTTGAAGTTTGTTCCTTCAATCAGGGGAACGTGGCGTTGATTTTCACAAAAGGTGACATGAGGGAGGTTAGCGAACAGATTGTCAAGCACAAGGTCAAGTAACATGTTCTGTTTATCTTAAGGTTTAATAATATATTGTGTTTTGATCCATCTTTTGCAACTCTTACATAATATCTACATAACATTTCCAACATGATACTTATAGAGGAGCAAAAATCGAGATACTTGTTCTTGCGTGGAACACTTATGGATTCTTTTTGCCATTCACTTGGAATTTACTTTGGATTTTTTCCTAAATTGATTCTTTAAGTGAGATTGTTAATCGCAATTTAAGTGTCTTGCTTAGGAGCCTTGTAGCAGAGAAGCCATATTTTTAAACATTTAAACTCAATTTTGTGTTTTGCTAAGTTTGTTCAGTACAATTGTGCTAATGTGCTTGTAGGTCCACATGTAAGAGTCCCTGACTTCTCAATGTTACTTACACATTGATCTTCTGTCATTGCTTGTTGATTCTACACTTTTAGATTTAGCTAAATCATTTGCCAACCACATTTGTTTTTTGCAAGCTGACATTAGACACAAGTTTGGTTCGAGTCATAAACTCTATACTGATGTTCATTGCTTTGCTCAAAATCTTGATGTGGGTGTTTTCAGTTTGCATTAGAACTAAACATTCTTTTATCAAGTTTTCTGGCGGAGCTCTTGAAAATTTTCCGATCTTGCGTAAGCTTGGCCTATAAATAAATATTTGTCATGTTCACAGTGTGGAAAGCTTGTTTTCTTATCAAGTTACACTAACTCATTCTGCAGGTTGTTCATCCTATTCTCATGTGCCCCAAGTTCTTGTCGTATGACACATACCACAATTGTTCCTTTTTGCAATCAGGACAATTACCTTTGGGCCTCACTTGTTGTAAGCAGCAGTCTTCCCAGGCTTCTGAGCCTTTTCTTGTATCCTCAAAATTCTTGCCGCACCAACATTGTTACTTAATGAGATCAAGACAGTTCTTGTTGACTAGTTTATGGGCTCCTTTTCTCCTTTTGGCTAGTAACTTGTGATGTGGAATAAGTGTTCTAATTTGGATCACATGATTTATAACTTTGTATGAAGGATGACTCTCACGATATTGATTCTTGAGCACTATATGCTCTCAATCTCTTTAGAGTGGAATTCTCCCTTTTCATGGAATGATGGAGAATGAAAATGATTTTTGATCAGGGTTTCAATTTGGGAGTTGGTATTTCTGATCTAGGGATTCTTAATTTACTCAGGAATTTATCCTCCATTTAAATAAGGAGATGCGAACATATTTATTATCTGAATGGTTATTCATTTATCTCATAATTACTGTTTTTTTGGTGAGGGCTATAAGTACTACATTCTCAATTTCAGAACCATTTACTTGATAACTACTGGCTCAAAAATTGTATTATTTTATTATGTTGTTGATTCTATTTTAACTTTGAAGTTAAAGAAGATAAGTTATAATATTTGTACATTCTAAACTGATGGTTCATTTCAATAGGTTTACCCACCATTTATGAAAGAGAATCAATTGGTTATTTATTAAAGCTCTCAACTTTTTTTTTTTAATACCGTAAAGCTCTCAACTTGAGTATATGCTATATCTAGTAAATGATGGTTATTTATTAAATTTTACTTTTTAAACTTTTTTTTTTTATCAATGAGAAGCTTTTTTTTCCCTCTCTAGAATAAACCACTTGCCCTAACAAAGTGAAATCTCTCTTTCCATCCCTCCTTCGTTATTAGGAATTGATGTCTAGGTTTCCTTTTTCTTCTTAATGAAATTATGCTTTCTACAGGACCTTCAAAATTTCAGTAGTACTGATTCGTTGCAATAAATATGTTTTCCGTAACGACGTATTGAAATTTATACAATATTTGATGCTTCCTAACAATGATTTTGCAGCATTTCTTTCTCTGTATAGATCTCAACAATCAACATAATTCACTCCATTTATCTAATTATTTTGCAAACTGGAATTTAATATTTTTTGAACATATGTAGATGGTCATAAGTCATAACTACTTTTGACTTATGACCATCTATATATGTTCAACAACATTGTTACTTGATGAGATCAAGACAGTTCTTGCTGACGAGTTTATGGGCTCCTTTTCTCCTTTTGGCTGGTAACTTGTGATGTGGAAGAAGTATTATAATTTGGATCACATGGTTTATAATTTTATATGAAGGATGACTGTCACGATATTGATTCTTGAGAACTATATGCTCTCAAACTCTGTAGAGTGGAATTCTCCCTTTTCGTGGAGTGATGGAGAATGAAAATGATTTTGATCAGGGTTTCAATTTGGAAGTTGGTATTCCTGATGTAAGGATTCTTAATTTACTCTGAACATAAGGAGATTAGAACATATTTATTATCTGGATGGGCTATTAGTTTATCTCATAATTACTGCTTTTTTGGTGAGGTCTATACTATAAGTACTACATTCTCAATGTCAGAACCATTTACTTGATAACTACTGGCTCAAAAGTTGTATTATTTTATTATGTTGTTGACTCTATTTTAACTTTGAAGTTAAAGAAGATGAGTTATTATTTACCAAAAAAAGAAGATGATGAGTTATAATATTTTTACATTTTAAACTGATGGTTCATTTCAATAGGTTTACCCACCATTTATGAAAGAGAATCAGTCGGTTATTTATTAAAGCTCTCAACTTGAGTATATGCCATGTCTAGTAAATGATGGTTATCTATTAAATTTTACTTTTTAAACCTTTTTGTTTATCAATGAGTAGTTTTTTTTCCCTCTCTAGAATAAATCGCTTGCCCTAACGAAGTGAAATCTTTCTTTCCATCCCTATTGCGTTATAATGTCTAGTTTTCCTTTCTTCTTAATAAAACTGTGCTTTCTACAGGACCTTCGGAATTAATCTGAATTATTATATCTTAAAATTTCAGTATTAGTTGTAACAAAAATGTTTTCCTTCCCAATAATGATTTTGCAGCATTTCTTTCTCCATGTATAACTCAACAATCAACATAATTTATTCCATTTATCTAATTATTTTGCAAACTAGAATTTTATATTTTTTGAACATAGATGGTCATAATTACTGACCGTGCTGTATTGCAAATTAGAACCTGCAAAAGTAATTAACTTACGCTGAATACGAATTATTGCTTGATTCTCAAATATTGTGGTTACAAATACTTTTTTTTTTTACTTAGCCCAAAAAAATGATTTTTTTTATATATATATTGTCAAAGTATTACACTCAGGGTTAAGATATAATTTACGTGTATAATTTTGTTCACATTTTATAAATTTAGTGGACTATTAATGTTGTAATCCTTGTATGCATCCAAGAGTTTCCTTCACTACTTATATCATATAGATTTCGTTGTTTTGACTCATAATTTGTAACACACTAAGGGCCTGTTTGGTGTGATGTATAAGGCATGATAGTATAAGCTTATACTATACGTTATGACATTTTCAGTTGTTTGGTGCGACCATCGTATAGTATAAGCTTCTACAGCAGGACCCCTTTATACATCAAAATGATGTATAACTTAATCCGGCCTAAGAGTGGTGGATTAGGCCTGATAAGGGGTTGATGTATTAATATTGCTTACAAGTACAATTTCCAAGAACTAATATATTATTTCAATATTTATATATTAAAATAAATTTTTTTAATATATTAATTTTTAAAATATTAGAGGATATTATCTTATACAATATCATACTAAACGCTGAATAATATTAAAATTTAATCAAGTCTTATATTATCAGGTCTTATCCTATATTATGCGGCCCTAATTTGACAAAAGTGTATGCATATAAGGAGTTTACTCGCAACTAATATTAGTCTAGACTCTAGACTCAATGTTCCAATCAATACAATTAATGTATAATACTCGTGAACATTCGATACGTTAACTTTCGTGACTCCATTGTGATGATTACATATCATCGTGGTGATTACCTATTTTTTTTGTATTCATCCACGACATGACTTTCTAAAAAAATAAAGGTACAATTTTTTATTTTTTTTGGAAACAAAATAAAGGTACAATGTAAGCATACAAAAAACATCATCATAATCCTTGTTCTTAGGAAGCGAGTTGCACGAGCAAGCTAACATAAAGGGAATATTTGGTTCAGGTTAAAATTTTTTTATTAGGAAAATATAATTATTAGAAATCTGTAGAAAAACTTAGTTAGATAGGAAAGTTTAAAAAAATTTATTTGGTTGGACAAAATTTTACTAAAAAAATTGAGTGAAATTTCTGAATCTGTGTTTGGTTGAAGATAAAATATTGATGGAAAAATTTATTGAAACTACAAAATAATCTTTTTAAAAATATCCACATATTCATGCTTTATAAGCATAACAGAAGTATTAGTATTATACAACACTTAAACATAGATCCAATATTCCCAATACGTTGTTGTGTGCCTTGTTGATGCGAAGATGATTGCCAATTAATTGAGTGAACAGATACAACAAGATACAATATCTTGTGTGAGGGTATTTTTGTCAACGTTTTCTACCCCAAAATAACTTATTCGGTTTTCAGAAAAAATATCACATTCCAAGTTCCTTTCTGAAAAAGTGCTTTTGTTGCTTTTTACATGCAAATATGCAATACTCGATAGCTAGGCAATTGGCATTGATGAATAAAATTCATGAAATCCGTGAACCAAACATGGAGAATTGACAAAGTCGGAATCACTTTGCTGAGAAACAATGCAAAACTCCTGAACCAAACACCCCAAAGGAATTCATGAATAAGGTTCGCTCGCTATAGCGAGCTAAGTTCAGGATATGTGTTTTTCTTTCATACTAAATCTTGTTTGGTGGTATATAAAGTTGTTTTGAGTGTTTTGAAGGAAGAAAAACAAAATAACTTATTATTATGACGAATTATTAAAGTAAAAAGTAAAATTGTTAAAAATAAATATTAGAACTCTAAAAATATAGTATATATTTTTAATAAAAAAATTCTAAAGCTTTTAGCTTTTACTTTTTTTATTCATATAACAAAAAATTATTTTTATAATAAAACATTTCAAACAAGTTAAGCGTTTTTTATAACAAACTCTTTTTACAAAGAGCTTTTGTAAAAGTATGTTAAGCTTCTACTTATAAAAAGAATATAAACTGACATTCCAAAAAGTTACCTATATCTCCACTCCACCATCCTTTTCTTCTCTCCAATTATATTTTTTAGTACATACTTCTTTCCAATTATTGGACATAATATAAGTTTTCATTCATAATTTTCGTGAGCTTTTTTCATAACATTTAAAGATTTTTGAAGAAGAAACTAAACGTAAAATTTATTTTTCATTAAAAAAGCCATAAAAATATGCTTCGAAAATAAAATATATGTACAAATTTAAAAATTCTATAAGGAAGGCTTTACATGGGCTTGGGCAATTATAAACTGATTAGATAAGAAATTATCAAAAAAATAATTCAAAAATGGTCTAAAGTCCATTGGGCTTATCAAAGGTTTTACGAGTCATACTCACACCCGTCCGATCTAGGTCTTTGCAAAACCCTAGTTTTCCTTCTTCCATCACTGTATAAACTCAGCATTATCTCCTTTCCTCAGTTACCCAATTCCTTTTGTTCCCGCACTCCCTCCGTTGCAGCTTAACTTTCAGAAAGAGTAGGTTAAAGAGACGGCACCGTTTTGCTGTCCGCCTTGACTGAGCCACTGCTTCGTCTTGGCCCTTGATTTTGTTCTGTTAATTTCTCTTACCTTTTACCCAGACCCAGACCCAGACCCATACATCTTCAATGGCGGTGAAACCTACAAAGGCTGAGAAGAAGATCGCTTACGATTCGAAGCTATGCCAGCTTCTGGATATGTATTCACAGATCCTGGTCGTGAACGCCGATAACGTCGGATCCAACCAGCTCCAGAGCATTCGACATGGATTACGTGGCGACTCGGTGGTTCTCATGGGGAAAAACACGATGATGAAGCGCTCTGTTCGGATTCACGCTGAAAAAACAGGAAACAACGCATTTCTCAACCTGATTCCCCTTCTTGTCGTGCGTTCTCTCCTCTCTTATTGCAATTTAGGGTTTTACCGTTTTATTGATTAATTGGTCTTGAATGAATCATGATTAGTCTTATTTTACCGCACAAGAGAGATAAGGCTATGAACTTTTGGTTATGATGTTTAGTTTAGATCTTGTGGCCTATCGGTGTGCTTACGTCCTCATTTCAATAACTGTTTTTTAGTATAAAAAACGAACTGATGTTTTAGTTTGTGTTTCGATTACCTTATTTTTGGAAAAACAATTTTTTCCACTCTACGTGTATTTAAACAAAAGGGAATATTTCTCAATGTAATGTGCTACATTGAAAGCATCTGTTATGTTTTTTTGACGTTGTTTTGGGAATGTGTCTTATGTATTGTTTGTTGAACCAGGGCAACGTGGGATTGATTTTCACAAAAGGTGACTTGAAGGAGGTTAGCGAAGAGGTTGCCAAGTACAAGGTGAAATAATCTTTCCATGATTTTTGTTTTCTTATGTTTTTTCTGGATACTATATGTAAGGATAATGTTGCTCGGTTTTTTTTTGCCGCCTGAGTTGCGGTACTTTAATGTAATCCATCACTGAGCGGTACATTAAAGTACTTGATACGATGAGCGGAAAAAATTAAAGTACTTTAATGTAATATTGCAGCCAGATGAGCTATGTTGGTCTTTAAAATATCCTACTGCAATATTTTGTTTTTGTTGGCTGAATTTGCTATTATTATTGATTGTAAATATCCTTTTTCTGTATTCTGTTAAAATATTTTGTTTATTGTTTGAAAAATTCAGTGATGAGCTAACATGGGCTCCCTTTTCTTGTTATTTAAATATTCAGCCACTGATTATTATTGTCTTTAAAATCCGATCAGGTGGGAGCTCCTGCCCGTGTTGGTCTGGTTGCTCCAATTGATGTTGTTGTTCCTCCTGGCAACACAGGGCTTGATCCCTCGCAGACCTCTTTCTTCCAGGTTTGTAATCTTGTTCCTATAGAACTTGAATTTTTTTCTTGTGGATGCCATGTTTATGTCTATTCTCCTTTCAGGTGCTCAATATTCCAACCAAGATTAACAAGGGTACTGTTGAAATCATTACCCCTGTTGAACTGATTAAGAAAGGAGACAAGGTCGGCTCTTCTGAAGCTGCATTGCTTGCCAAACTCGGTATTAGGCCTTTCTCATATGGGCTTGTTGTACTATCCGTGTATGATAATGGTTCAGTCTTTAGCCCTGATGTCCTCGACCTTACTGAGGATGACCTCATGGAGAAGTTTGCTATTGGTGTCTCAATGGTTACATCTTTGTCATTGGCCGTTGGATACCCAACTCTTGCAGCCGCACCACACATGTTTGTGAATGCCTACAAGAACGTTCTTGCTGTTGCAGTTGCGACAGAATATTCTTTCCCCCAGGCAGACGAGGTTAAGGAGTTCTTAAAGGTATATGTTTCAACATCTTGATGATCTGACAATAATATATTGGTCCATTATTTATTTCTTTCTTATATACGAATTGTTATGTTAAACGCAGGACCCGAGTAAATTTGCTGTAGCTGCTGTTGCAGCACCTGCTGCAGCTGCTGCTGCTGCCCCAGCTGCTGCTGCTGCCAAGGAAGAGGAAAAGAAGGACGAGCCAGCTGAAGAATCTGATGATGACATGGGTTTCGGTTTGTTTGACTAATTCATGTCTGCTTTTCTTGGAGTTTGGTACTAGTATATTTCATTTTAGTCTTGTTAGCGCTCTTTCTCATTCTAGGTGTTATTGTAGTTTGCTGTTTTCCCTTTGCATATATTCGTTTGACTCGTTTTATAATTTTTGAATTTCCTAGTTATAATGCTTTTCTTGGAGTTTGGTACTAGTATATTTCATTTTAGTCTTGTTAGCGCTCTTTCTCATTCTAGGTGTTATTGTAGTTTGCTGTTTTCCCTTTGCATATTGCGTTGTGACTCGTTTTATAATTTTTGAATTTCCTAGTTTTAATTAATTCTGGCTTAACTTTGTGCGTGTCACGGTTATAACATTCTTGTTTTGGTTGAAATATTACTTAATTTGCCGTTTTCAACGTAAATTTTACTAGCTAATGTTAATTTCATGAATTCATGTTCCCTAATGATTTTAATTGTGAACTAAGCCGCAGCGTGGGGGTTCATGACTGGCTATGTTAGATCATGACTTCCACCTACCTGGACAGTGCTATAATTTTGTGTTGTGGAGGGGGAGGGATTGCATTACTGATTTTTTTAAAAAAAAATTAATTTTCTAATGTGAAGGTGCTTGATTAACTGTGCTGTAGTATTGATTTGTTTAATCAAATTGACTGTCTGAGCAAAGATAGTTACACATTTAGTTGTTATCTTGTCTTTTTATTCTGCTTATTTAGTATTGATTTGTTTAATCAAATTGACTGTCTGAGCAAAGATAGTTACACATTTAGTTGTTATCTTGTCTTTTTATTCTGCTTAATTACTTAAACGTTCTCTAACTGCGAGCGATACGAAACCTTCAGCAAAATACAATATTTTAAAGTACAACCCGTTGCCAACTTTCTCCAATATTCAAGTTAAATTAGTATTTTTAGTATTGGAAAAAGTCGCCTGAATTAGTTTATTTTTGAAATGAGGTAAGGTATAATCTTTATTGGACAGTTTGAAATTAAAGTGAAGCCGAACATAGTTTGATTAACTGATTAAAAATGTGCTCAATTTTATAGATAGGATTCATAGACATTAAATGATTATGGTGTGAAACTGGTTATTAGGCTGTTGGAGGTGTTTGGTGGGGGAGTTTTATATTTTTGCCTTGTAAAGTTCACATGGGTTTCCAAGTTGATCATGTTTGGTAAGGTTTCTAAATAATTTGCATAGTATTCTCATCTGCATCTAATTTTATGTGTAAAATTGGAGTAAAAACACTATTTAGGAATATTACATAGAAGGTTTTATTTTTGAATTACCATCAAAATTCAAAAAAAAGTCTTATCCTTAAATCAATTTTTTTGGTAAAATTATGGCCTATCAAATAATTATTTTTTTACTTTTTCAGAAAATTTACTCTCTTACTATATTTTCAGTAATTGTGTTTTTCTGATTATTTTTTTTTCTTCTACCAAACGTTAGTTTTGTCAGTGAACTCATATTATATCAGGCAAGGCCTGCTTTTACGGGCAAAATATTATTTTCAAAGCTTTTATATACTTTGATAAATTCTTTGAATTAAAAATGCATTTTCAATTCACCAAAAAAGATAAATTGCATTCTCAAGTAAGTTACTGTTAGTTTTACAAATTTGTAGTTGTTTAAATGAAGTTATGCTTTTATATTCTTTATATTAATATGATTGAAATAAATTTTGTTGTTACAGAGTGTTTTTAAGTATTTCTAAGTTAGTTGAATTCTATTCTCTGATAATTCTATGTCATCAACAAGCTTAAACCATTTTAAACTTAATCAAATATTCATGGAGTGAAATTTGAAACACAAATAAAAAAGTGCATTATTTTCTCTACTTCGTCATGATATAAGAGTGGTTTGTTAATCCACGTTTCTTATTACAAATTAAAATATAGAATGTTGGTGCTACCATCTAAACTTTAAACCTATAGTGTTGGAAGTCAAATTTGATTTTGATCACATTTTATAAGTCGTTATTTAAAGTCTAAATAAACTTATTGTTCTCTAATCATAACACTTACTGAGGTTCTTAAATGTTTTTAAATAATGAAGTTTTTTTTTATTATTCCAAAATTTTATTTCTGCGACTTAGTTTCCGGATATTCTCACAATATAGGCAATGAAATAGGAAAGAACCTGCATATATATGTAACTCATGTCGAGTGGCGTCACAAATATACAACTATACCTCTAGTGTCCTCTTTTGACAATTAGTTCTTTAGTGTATCCTATAATCGTTAAATGGATGTATCTTGAAAGAGAATAAATTGATAAGCGAAGAATGTTCTTGTATGTTCTCCAGTCTTTAATATCGTATTATCCTCCTTGAATTGAATTATTTCACTAATCCTCTTTTCTTAGGAATATGAAGCCTTATCTTGCGCTGTATAGGAATGCTTCTACTGCTTTCTTGTTATCTCTTATTTTTCAACAATATATTTAACAAAAAGTTATTAATTGAATAAAGTTTTTTCAGTTCCGTGACATACCAAGCTCAATTCTAGAATCGGGCGGTGATATTTACGTCATTTCAAGCTTTCTTGTAGCTACGCCTTCTTTGGTCATTACACGCCAATAACACCATTTAGTTTGATTTAATGAGACAATCAACTATCTAGCTGTACGAAGAAGTAAGCTTCAGTCATATTAACAAAGCTTAAGCACCAAAATTGTTACGGATGTTTAATAATTAATTATAGATAATAAATAAATAAATGAGTTTGGTGTTTGTCATTTTAAATGACATAAGTTATGTCATTTTAGGAGAGAGATAGACACAGAAAAACGGAAATCATGAGAGAGAGAAAGTGGATGATTTTTTTTAATTTAAAATTCGAATTTTCTGTGTCTGTATCTCCCTTAAAATGCCATAATTTTCTGTCATTTAAAATGACAAACACTTTTTCCTAAATAAATTGATGATAAAATATGACATATTTATTTGACTTGTATTGGATTCGTGAGTTATTTAATAAATACTCATTCATATTATTTAATACTTTTCTTATTCAAATAATGGGAAAAAAAGGGCACATATGGTTAGATAGAAATTTTAACACGGGGAAGGATATTGTGACAATCAAGTTGTGTTACTATCAAGTGACTACCAATCAATATCACCGTTAGATCGGTTATATTGATCCAACGGTTATATTTATTTCCATACCTGTATTGTCATGATTCCCCATATTTAAAGTGAAAGCATAAATATGGGAAATCATAATCAAGCAAAGGTAAAATAAATATAAATTATTAAATATGAGAAATCATGACCATACAAAGATGAAAATAAATATAACCGTTGGATCAACATAATCGATCTAACGGTGAAATTGATTTGTAGTCACTTGGTAGTAACACAACTTAGTTGTCACAATATCCTTCCCCAATACTTGATAACTAATTATGCCATCCCTTATAAAATATCTTTCTGTTTAGAAAATTTATTTTGTTTTAATTTATTTATTATTTTGATAATTAATTACATATAATAAATATATTAATAAAATAATAAAAATATTAATAGTGTGAATATTTTAAAATTTTTAATGAATAATAATATATTCAAGAGGAAGGTTATACTTACAACTTTTTTTTTTTTACAACCTCTTACAACCATATATCTTGATTTCCGCCAATCAACGGTTATCATTTATTATGAATTAATAATTAATTAATGAGTTTAATTTGCGAAAATCATAACCGTTGATTGGCGAAAATCAACGGTTATAGTATATGAGTGTACGAGATTGTAAAAAAAAAAAAGTTGTAAGTATAACCTCTCCCTATATTCAAATACAAATATATTTTTGAATCAACGGTAATAATCAAATTCCGCAATAACATCCTTATTAAAGTTGCCAATAGCTATTGACGAGTGTAACGTTGAATTCATTAGTATTTTTATGGCCAATTTCAGTTATTTTTTAAAAGAACTTTTACAACAATTAATATGTATATATTTTTAACAAGTACATTTAGGACACTGATTTAAGAAGTATTTATTTATTTATTTATTTATATTAAATATTTGAATCATTCAAAAAAAAAATAGTTTTGACTTTTTAATATATTTCTTGCAAAACCTGTTTTGGTATAATAAGTACTTTATCTTTGTGAAGGCACGTCCCAAGTAAATATTTAGTCAATTTTTTTTTTTTTTTTTAAAGTTAGTCAATCTTATAATAGTAAAAAAATGGAAAGAGAAAGGAACTGCTCTTATGGTTCAAACTTCAAAGTTCAAAACTCAACGTTTGGGTTTGCCCAATTGAATAGAAGAAACTAGAAAGGGATTGTTGATGGATCAAAATGAGAGAAGCGATGCTTATGCATCCGTGTAGACGACATTTTGCTTGAAAGGTCGGTCCATAAAATAATTCTTATTGTAGGCCGCGCTTGATACATAATTATCAAAAAAGAGATGGTAGAAGCGTATAATTTGATATTTTCATTATTATTAAATAAAAACTTAATTTTAGCCTCGTGACTAAAAAATGGACCCGTTATTTAACGAAATTAATATGAAATTTTACACAAAAACTGAAAAATATTTAAAAAATCTAAAAAAATATTGTTTCAATTCAATCATGACGTAATCAAATGTGAAGTGGCCCAACTTTTTGGGCACCATAGCATCCATTATCCATAGAAGTGGTAATGGAACAAGTGCACGCCGCTATCTTATTTTCTTGGATGTTCTGTCGTCTTTTCCACTTTCGTATTCTTTTAAAACCCAAACATATGTACTGTCATGGACTCATGGTAATGCATCCATATATCCTAGCCTCTGATTCTGCCCTATCTATAATACTATCTCTATCTCTTTCACTTTTTATGGGTCATCTACTATCATTAATTCATTATCTCTAATATGGTTAGATGTACGTTATCCTCCACTTCACGTCCTAATTTCGTTTCCCCGTCATCCATTCTAATAAAAGCTCACCCTCCTTTTGTTTTAATTTTCAAGATAATAACAAAAAAGAATAGCGCGCAGTGGCAAAAAGAATCATATTGCATGATTTGTATCGCTGTAGCCATAATACCGATAATTTCGAACATAATTTTAGAAATAGTACTTCGTACCATTTTGTATCTGTTTAACCTAAAAACTTACACTATTAATCAAACAAAGATCAAGCTAATAATTTTATAGGTAATACTTTTCTTATGTTGCATAAGAGAAGTATTATTTCCTACTCAAACAATAAATATGAGAGAGAAAAAAGTTGGAGGTGAAAGAAAAAAATTCTTGTGGGACCCATTTGAAAAATGTGAGTGTAGGAGATAATACTTCTCTTATGTAATATAAGAAAAGTATTACCCTAATTTTATATTATATTTATGTAAGAATTTTTTTTTAAGATATTTACTTCGCAACTGGTCTAATTCGGAGCGAGTTCCGAGATTAAAATTTTACTCGAGATTAAAACTTTAAATCTCTCTTAATATCGAATAGAATCGAATACATGCTCTCACTCCCACCTTGTGAGTTACCTAACTACCATTTTTATGTAAGATTTTTAACTCTGATTATACGATGTATGGAGGTGGAATCATCCTATGGTGAGGCTGTGCTAACCTGAATTGTCCAACTTTGGCCGACAGAGTGAGTGCAGCACGTGGTTGCCACGCTACGTGTCTGGGACCGAACAGGTGATCAAAAAGCGTAGATGAGTTGGATGAGTGAAAATATAGAATGGGAATGGGACAAACCCATTACCCATACATAACGGCAAAAAAAAAAAAAAAAAAAAGACCAAAAGAGAAAAAAGATGATGTATTTCTTTACTATGTATGTATCTACTTCCACCACAGCGTTGGGAGTTGGGACTTTGGAAGATGAGATTAGTATTCAAAATGAAGCCAACAAAAAAATTTGTGGATGGATGAAGTTGCTGCTCTTTCTAGAACACTCTTTACCAGCTTTGATTTACTTACACATTAAATATATGAATAAAAAAAATAGGTTTTTTCAAATTCTGCATTTCCCACCATATTGCTGTTTACTTTGGATGCCTTTTGAGCTTCAGTTGCTTTTGCAGTGCATTGTCGCAATGGATGTGGATACTAATAAAGTTAATTAACAAGCGAGGAGATGTGAAAACGAAACAAAAATGAAGCCGCAGTAATTGAAAGAAACCATATAAAACCTGCAAATCAGAGAGAGAACAATATAAATTAAGTTGACAAACATTCGCGTTTTGATTTACAAGGTATCATTTTGTTGAGATGTGCAAGTATTTGAGTAAGGAATATTTAACAGAATACCTTTCAAATAAATCATTATTTGTGCAGAAACTTAACAGAACATATAAATTAAATTGTTGGGTAACAAGGGGAGCGCAACATCAAATGGACTTAAAAGCACAATTAAGCTCATCAGAATTTAACATCACGTCTCGATCCAAAATCTTAAACCGTTAAATTTATGTATCCTTTTATTATGTGCCTTAACCCTATATAGAATTTTGTATCATTTACACTTGAATTTCTATGGAAACAAATAATATAATTAATACATGCCAGTTACAGTACTAATGTACTATCCTATCCCACCACGATGGCAAAGGAAGTGCAGATAATTTGTGATCTGGATATATATTATCAAAATACAAGGTTCAAACTAAAAGCTTTTACTACTAAAAAAAGCTCATAGTCAAGGAAGGCTGCAAAGTCCATATTTCCAAGCTGCACAATATTAAAGGTTGTCTCAGCAAGCTCCTTAACATTTAAACATGACAGCCATATTACTTTGACTCCAAGACAAAGCAAACTTGATCACTAAGTATGCTTCACCACTTGCAAAGCTGCTATCTCTCTACTATAAATACATATGTATTAACACTAAGATACACATCTTCTTCTACATGACTACTTGAGCGTCTGAGTGTCTTGCAGCTATACCCCCATCTCATTCCATTGAAGACCCATGGGTTAAAGCTGTCCAATTGTAAGATGCTCTGATCCAAAGCGGTTCTAGGCCATATGTGTAGAGGAAGATCACATGATCGACCCAATTGTAAAAACCTGTTCTGATTAATTTGAAAAAAGAAAGGAGAATTGGAATCTAGAGACTCTATACAAACTTGTTGATTTGAGTTTGAGGAGAAATTCCCGAACGTCCCTTCCAACTTTGTTTGAGTGACTAACGATGGCATGATCCGTAATTATGCTATATTTGCCGTCCCAAACTTTCAATTGGGCGGCTTATGTTGTTGTATTATGAGGAGTCGTGGTTAGAGAGGAAGGAAAGTAGATTCCACTTCCTCCACAAATATTATAATAGCTTACATTTGATTCTTTATGTAGTCTTGCACAATCATTATTTTAGTAAAAAAAAATTATAATCAAAATTACAAATTATATTATGTTTTATCGTTAAAACTTGATTTAAGAATATCTTATCCATAAGATATAATATAGTTTATAAGAGTTTATAAATAAAAAGTTTGTAAATATAATCTTACTTTTTTTTCATAATTATTTTCAATGGAGATGAAATTGGTTAACATTTTAAAGCAAACTATCAATTATATATCTTAGACTATGATAACCTTAATATATGATATTGGGAAACTAAATTGATTTATTAGAATTATTTGTCAGTTGATCCTCCTAAAGGGACTAAGTATGTTGTGTTTTGAAGTTGTTCATATTCATAATTCATACTAGTGTAGGTATTTATATATATTGTTGTTATTTTCTATTTTTGAATTTTACTCATTTGAATGAACTTAGTTCAGTATTATTTGTCAAATGTAGTCATCCCCTCTATTTATAGAAGACGTGCATGTAACTTTGCTCGAATTTGTATTTCTTTCACCCATATAAGATCTTTTTAAGCAAAAAAATTTAGGGTAAAGGGATAGTTGTCTGCGTCCAAGGTCATACTGAGAACACTAAAAGGAATTTATATATAATTCACTAACGGGGTAATTCCACAATTTAAAACAAAATTTCATCTTTTATTATAATTTCCTGTATAAAAAGAAAGTGTATATTAAAGAAGTGTGTGTTCAACTATATAAATAATTATAGAGTAAATACCTTTTAGTAGTCACTGATAATCTGGTTGTGTATCAAATGGTCTTGGAATTTTTGTGACTACTAACAAGTCAATCCTTCTATTATTTGGTCTTAACATAGAAGATGATTTTGCATGTTAAGTGCACATGTGTTTTCTTCATAATGTTTCACATTTTTATTACTGTGAGGATTTTTTTAAAAAAATAACAGAAAGACTAATTTATCAATACTTACTAAAATCCATGAATTGCTTTGTGTACACAACAAATTATTTATAAGATAAAAACCCATAAGATATATCTATATCATGGATTAAATTATATTTTATTTAGAGTGAATACATTTTTTGGTCCTTAACAAATTTTACGATACCCTTTTTATCCCTAGCAAATAAAAAGGTCCATCGTGATCCCTAAAAAATTCAAAATGGACTCATTTTAGTCCTTTTAGGGACTAATATAGATCTTTTTTGAATTTGCAAAGGACCACAATTTCAATTAAATAGGTCTATTTTGAATTTCTTAGAGACCATGATGGGCCTTTTAATTTGCTAGGGACTAAAACGGACATCGTGAAATTTGCTGAGGACCAAAAAGGATATATACTCTGTTATTTATTATTATAAGAGTGTTTATTATAAAGATTTTATCTGTTGCAAATAAAAAAGTTATTAGCACCGTCTCAATTTTAATACTATGATTCTATCCCCTCTGGTATACCATTAACCAAATAGAAAGTGAAATATTTTTGTAAAAAAAATAAAAGAGAGAGAGATGTTTTAGATAAGTTCTCAATAGAATATGCATAACATACTTGGCTGAAGAAAAGAATGATTTGTGTTATTGCATACGTACAAGAAAGATGTGAATGGCACAGTTGGATCTTTGAGTGGATTCCAAATGAAAAGTGTCACGGATGGAGCCAAAAAAGAAGAAGAAAAAAACCATTGTAGTATTGTACCCTAATGTAACAAGGCGCGGGGTGATTGATATTTGATAGGCCACAAGGTCGTCAAACGAAAGTGTGGCTTCCAAGTTCCAACGCCTACTACTACTACCTCCTCCGACTTCAACGACTCCACTACTTACTTTTTGATTCCAAACAAAGATAACTATCTTCTCCTTCAACTTCCTTTTTTGTCCTTTTATGTTGTTAGGTCTTGTTATGGATAAGCTCCATGTGCTTCTCCAATTCCCTCCATTCTAACTTTCCTTTTCCTCCATTCAATATTTATTTATTTATTTATTTTGTAAATACATACATTATACATATGTGCCATTTATTTTTAAAACACCTATCATAATACTATGCATTTTGAAATTTAAAAAATGATATTCCACACCGCTGAGACTTTCAAATTCCTCGTTCTTCGTGTGTGGCCTTTGCCATATTCCATCCCATTCCCCAGTCCACACGTCTTTTCCTTTTCTTCAAATTTCCACACTCTTTCCCTCATCACCATATAAATACCCACCCCCTCTTCTATCTTCATTGTCCTCACAACTCACAAACAAAACATCATCATCCTCTCTCTCTCTCTTTATCTGGCTTCTTAAAAATGGTTGATTTAGACTGGAAATCAAAGATGGTCAGCTCAACTATATCTCCCAACTCCCCCAAACTCTCTCTCCCCGATAAAACCATACCAACTTTTAAATTACCCCTTCGCATAAACGACATCTCGTCAGCGTCGTCCCAAGTTTGCTCTGCTTACGAGAACTATCTTCGCCTTCCTCACCTCAGAAACCTATGGGCCTCCAACGATTTTCCCAATTGGACCAACGAGCCCATCTTAAAGCCCGCCTTGCAAGCTCTCGAGATCACTTTCAGGCTCCTCGCGACCGTTTCCTCCGACCCCAGACCCTACGCGAACCGGCGCGAGTGGACCCGCCGGGTCGAGTCGCTCGCCGCGGCCCAGGTCCACATCATAGCCATGCTCTGCGAAGACGAGGAACAGAACCCCGAGACACGTGGCAAGGCACCAGTTAGTGACCTCAACAGCATCAACCACAGCCAGAGCAGAAGCTACAGCGAGACCAGCTTGCTCCCCCGCCTTGCCACGTGGCAAAAATCCAAGGACGTGGCTCAGAGGATCCTTTGCTCCGTGGAATGCGAGATGATGAGGTGTCCGTACACGTTGGGTTTGGGTGAGGCGAATCTCGCCGGAAAGCCTGTACTCATGTACGACGCCGTTTGCAGGCCGAACGAGATACACTCACTGCAGACGACGCCGTACGATCACGTCGGTAACTACGAGAACCGGACGCTCCACGCGACGCACCAGATCGTGGAATCTTGGGCACGCGCCTCGCGCCGGTTGTTGGAGAGGGTGACGGAGGCGATGGAGAGTAGAAGCTTCGAGAAGGCGGCGAGTGACTGCTACGCGGTGGAGCGGATCTGGAAGTTTCTGGCGGATGTTGAAGACATGCACCTGATGATGGATCCGGAGGATTTGCTGAGGCTGAAGAAGCAGCTCGGGATCAGATCTTGGGCGGAGACGGTGCCGTTTTGCTTCCGATCGAAGGAGCTGGTGGAGATTACGAGGGTGTGCAGGGATCTGAAGCACAAGGTGCCGGAGATCTTGGAGGTGGAGGTAGACCCCAAAGGTGGGCCCAGGATCATGGAAGCGGCGATGAAGGTGTACGCAGATAAGAGGAGTGGGTTCGAGAGGGTTCACGTGCTTCAGGCGATGCAGGCGATTGAGTCTGCGATGAAGAGATTCTTCTACGCGTACAAGCAGGTGGTGACGGTGGCCATGGGAAGCTCCGAGGCCAATGGGAATCATTCTGACTCGGGTGACTCGTTGAGTCACATATTCCTTGAACCCACCTATTTCCCTAGCTTGGATGCAGCAAAGACATTTCTCGGATATTATTGGGAAAATAATGAAAATGCAATTCCTTCGTAATTCACTTTAATTGATACTACTTAAGTGATACAAAGACAAAAAAAGAAAAGAAAAAAAGAAAAATTAAACTATTCTTTCCTTCATTTTCGGGATGTGGATTGAATTTTTGGGACAGCTTGTTGTAAACAATCTTTGTCTGTTAAATATTTAATCATGTTTCGGATCATATCCTTCCACTTAATTCCTTGTCCCTGCTTTAAATTAATTCCCGATCCCGACATTTGAATTTCGAAAGTACTCACATTGTTGTGATGGAACTAGCTAGAGAATACATATAGAAATATGATTTAAGACCAAGTAATAAAATATATTAAAACAACCCACGCAAAAAGCCTAATTTATGGCTTGTTTGATTGGATGCAAGATCCAAATCTCTCAAAAAAAAATAAAAATTATTGAAGGCCAGGATTGATATTATACTCAGTTTTTGCGTGTCCCTCAAAGCTATCATGATCTCATTTCTTGGTTTGCTGATCTTTGCTCAGCGTGCAAACTGTGAACCTGCTGTAGAATCTAATTTCCATGCATTTAATTAGAGCTTTACTACAACCTATTCACGTTTGGCCATCTATCTTCCAATAATTTCCGATGTGATGTTAATTGGAGTTGATGGAAAGAGGTTGTGGCTAGGGGTGTCAATATGGGTTGACACGACACGAATTTGACACGATACGAATTCGACACGACACGAATACATCAACACGAACACGACACGAATTTTTATTCGTGTCAAAATCTTCAACACTGACACAACACGAATTTTTTGCTGGTTGACACGACACGACACGAATAACACGCAAAATAGGGGACAAAACGATAATTGACAAAAAAAATTTAAAAAATAGATCGAAAATAAAGAAAAAATTAAAAAAAAAAAAAAAAATAATTAAAAATAATACGGGTCGACACGAACACGAATTCATAAACACGAACACGACACGAATTTTTTACGTGTCATTTTTTCTAACACGAACACGACACGAATTTTTTTACGGGTCAACCCAAACACGAATTTTCGTGTCGTGTCGCGAGTCGACCCGCGTGTCAAAACTCATATTGACACCCCTAGTTGTGGCTTGTGCATGGGTGCTCTCGACTCAAACAAAAGTTGAACTTGCCTGCGCTGTTTGGATGGCCAGAAAGTAAAAAATGCTGACAATTTCTATTTGGCGATATGAGTTCAAGTCTGAGCTTTCTCATTATTTCATCAATGATCAATCCCTTCGCTCAGTTCTTCCGAGTGTCAATGAATTATCCTTTTATTAATAGTATTTATGAATTGTACAGATATTTTAAATTTTAGTTAAAATAATGTATTTAAAAACATAAAAAAATACTTCAATTTATACAAAAAAAATATGTAAACTAATTCAAAAAAATTAATTTAAAACAAGAGAAATTAAAGAAGACATTTATAATTCTTTAAAAGATAATAAACTAAAAAAATTGAGTTATTCTAAAACAAAGCGTACTCTAAATTTATATTGAAGGATATATTACTTATAAGCCCAAGTACGTATAGTATACGCTGAACTGTTTGCAATTTACCCTAGGTGATGAAAAGGAGTGATTAGTTTACCAGACCAACAGTTATAATCAGACGTACACACCAATTGAAGAAACAAGTAGGAAAGTAAACAAGAGTCCTAAATTTGGAGCGAAGAGCGAAGAATCTTCGGATACGGATACTAGTCAAATATGGCAGGAGAAAACCATTGACATTGACAATATTATGCTTGCCATTAACTTAATCATTTTGCGAAAATATTATGGGAAATAGAAGTATAATGTTGTAGGAAACTGTTTAAGTTATCTTATAGAGATAGAGATTGTGGAACCCACACATTTTTATTTTTGAAAACAAGTGTGGGTTCCATAATTTTTATCACTATGACACAACCTAAACACTTTCCTACAACATTATACTTACTTTTCCCAAATATAATATACGTACTAGTGCAAAAAAAAAATTTACCTACTGACAAATAAACAAGAAATCATGTATTATACAGAGACTTTAAATTTAAGTAAAATTTTAAAAATATATTTAAATTTTTTAAAAAATGTTTATAAATACCAGAATGGCAGAATATTTTCTTAAATAATTCAAAAATATCAAGCGTAAATTAAGAAAAAATTCATAAATGGCATGTGCCACTCTTTAATAAAAATAAACTACAAGATTAAGTCACTTTTAAAATTGTGTATTTTAATTACTTTAATATATACAAATAGAGTAATTAAAATTTAAGGGGGAAAATGAACTTTCATATAAAAAATTCACAATAATTAATTTAAAAGTGCAAGTAAATGAGATTTAAGAAAAAAATTAACCTAAGAAATTACAATCATTTTAAGTATATAACATGCTTAAATTTGAAATAAAAATATAAAGCAATTAGTAATTTAAATTTTTTAAATAAATATAGAAAAGATGATAAAAATGATGAAAATTACTTATTTTAAGAAAAAGATGTGAGTAATTTTCTCCCTCTCGAAAATAAAATTTTATTTTATTTGTAATAAATATGCTGTATGGTTATGTCCCAAAAAAATTGTATTGGGCAGTTAAATTTGATAAGTAAAAGCAAATTAAAACAAAGAATGACTCCGGATTTCTGATTCAATCTATTCTAGAATCTAGATCATAATTGAAAAAAAAAAATTCATCTTAAAACTGGTCAAACAAAGATTTAGGTAAAGCAAATCTATCAAGAAAGGAAACCGATGGAACAGGTTCAATAATTTTATTTTATTTTTATTCACGGTTTATCTTTTTTAAATAATTTTTCTCTCTTTCATTTTATATAACATATTTTTCGTTCGTTTGGTACCGATTCATCACGTGATTGAGGAGCAATCAACTATGCATGTATTTCATGATTTACATATATTTTTTGCTGCGAGAACCTCTCTTTTAAATAAAGCCGATTCATTTTTATTTTTCTACTTTTTTATATGGAGAACATCTCAGATCCTATTTTGCTAAGATCTTTTTCACGTAAAAATAAAAACTTGTGTTATCAAAATAAATAAATAAATAAATAAAAACTTGGGCTTCTGGAAACACGTGCAGCAGAAAAGAAAAATTAATTTACTTTGAATAATCATAGGGTTGAATGTTTATTGCTTACTGGGTCCACCTACTTTTTATGTTTATTGTAGAAAATTAGAAACATTAAATTCACAATTATATTTTAAAAATAAAAATTTAACTTTTGAATGAAAAAAATCTTAACTAAGCCAGTTATACATACATATATATATATTCTTTATCGATTATCTAATTAGCTTAATTTTTTTAAATTTTTGTATATTGAGCATAATCACATCGCATGAAGGCTTTTGTCTACAACTAGTTGATTTAAATTTATTTAGAACCTCTATCATGAATACAATATCTTCCGACACTAACAAAACAGTAAATGAACAGTCATGGGGCAAACAGGTGACCAATTGAATCATCATCAACCCTACACCAACACAAAATTAAAAAGTTTACGCTTCTTCGCTCCCCCGAAAAAATTACAAAAATGATATTTGTATATTAAAAATTCTACATTGTTTATACATCATTTTTTTAGATAATAAGATAAAAAAAAATACGCTTTTTATTTTATAATTTTTCTACTTCTTTTCTCAAAGTATAAAAATGAAAAATATTTTTGATATTTTAATTTCTTCAAAAATTATGAGCCACCAAAAAGTGAAAACCATTAGATTGGGTTCTAGAAATTTGGGTTCACTTTCGACTCCGTGGGCTTTTAGTGAAATGGGCTAAAAGACTCTATGAGACTGTACTTTCTTTTTTTAGTAGTCTCAAGGTATCCTTTAGTCGATAACGGAAGACTAATTCTCTCGAGACATAAAAATTATTGAAGTCGGTTTTGTTTCTACCAACAATTTTTTTTTCATACTCACGGCCAGAAATCGAATCTCTATCAGCAGTGATGTTCATCAACTGATTCAAACCGCTGAGACCGAATCGAAAAATCGATAACTGAAACGAAATCAAAAAACTAAAAATAGAAAGAAAAAAATGCATATTTTAATTATATTGGATTGGTTTTTGATTTGATTGGTGAAAATCGATCAAATCCAAACTGATCCAATGTATTATGTATTTGTTATTTTCGAAAGATTGTAACTTTGAATGTTGTTGTTTTGAAGACATGGAACCTTGAATGTTATTGATAGTAAACTATCTTGTTTTAGTTTTTTATTGTCTATTAATCTATTTTAACATTTCATGAGTTTTAAGTCTTGTTTTAGTTTGAAGACTTGAATTTTCCAATGATTTATAACTTTAAATGACTTTATTTTGATATAACTAGTGATTTGTATAAATGAAATTTTAAGCTTTTCAAAAAATCAAAAAATTATCAAATCCAAATCGAGTAAAATTGGATTGGATCGAATTTTTTTTAAAATTCAAACTGAATGGATTATTAAATGATCAAACCGAAAGGATTGATCAAATATTTTTACTTCAAAACCGATCCAATCTAGACTGCGAATACCCTTACCTGCCAGCATGCTTAAGGAACTTAGCTATCTACCAACTATGTCAAACCTTGTTGGTACTGTTTTTCAGAACTTTAGTTCTTTTTAAATTTATTATTTGAATTTATTAGAAGAGTATCTAGCATTGCCAATAGGCAATATATAGTTAGATACCAAATATAGTGAACATATTCGATCCAAGGAAGGAAGAGGGGAGGAAAAGAAGATGAGTTGATCAAAGAAGATTGCTGAGAGGATATAGAGTCAAGAGTGCTACAAGAATTAAGACCGTAACATAGGGGTGTAAATGAGTCAGGTTAGGCCAAACTTTGACCTTAATGGCATAAGACTATGTAAAAATATGTTGATCCTATTTGCTCTACTAACCTATAAAAAGCTTGGTTTATAGGATAGGTCTGGCCTATTGTTAAAAAATAAAAAGCTTAACATGTCTTATGTGGCCTTTTAAGGCTACTAAGTTGCGAATTAAACTAAAATAAAAAATAAAATATCTCATTCATTAAACAATATTTCCAGCAAAGATTCAAATTATAAAAATTCTCAAATAGATTATTTAACAAGAACACAAAGATTTTTAAATAATGTTAATAAAGATTTATTTTTTCTTGATAGACTTAGGATAGATGAATAATATTTATGACAATTGATAAATATATTATTTTATTTTAAAAATTAAACAGGCCGACTTATAGGCTTTAAGACTAGGTTGTTACTTAGTTGGCCTATTTTTTAAAAAGGCTAATCTATAAGTCTAAGCCTAATATAATTCCCTGATAGGCCGAGCCAGGACAAACCTAGCATAGGCTAAGATATAGGCTCCTGTAGTCCAGTTTGACCCTTTTACATCCTACTGTAACATACATAGAATTTACGTGTAATTTGCATTTCATCAAATAATAAATTTCTACTTTTATTTAAATATTATTATATATATATATATATATAAATTAAAAATAAATATAAAACTTATCGGATAAAAATATGGTTTTTCATTAAAAAAATATATGAATTATGTTAATATAGTTTATTTAAATTGTGATTTTTATAGTTTAAAAAATTAAAATGATAATTACTTAATTGAATTAACGTTTATCTTACAACAAGAGATAAAAGTTATTTTCTTTGAATCCAAAATGACGTCATTTTAGGAGTTGATAAAAATTACATAATATTCTAATTAAATTCATGATACAAGAGAAAAGTAAAATTTTTAATATACCTTATATATTTTTTCCTAAATTCTAAAACAATGTTGTTGGAAATAACTTTATTTCTTGTTAAAGGAAAAAAAAAACAGTTTTGATTAATTTATATATAAGTCAAAAGAAAAAAAAATTCAAAATCAATTTCAAAAGAATTATATACAATTTTGTTATACAATTTAATATAAACTATATAGTTCCCTTTAAATACAAAATATCATAATTGTTTTGTCCAGGTGATAGAGGTATCTAGCCAAGATTAATAGATAAGTATTGGATTAAGTATTCTCTCTAAAGTATCTATGAATAAGATATTCTTGAAGTAGCATATCACTATATATAGATATTACAGTGTTAGTCAAATAGATGATGTGTGTACACAATAATAACATAAACGTAAGAGAGAGATTATTCTGTACCTGTAAGTTTTACCTCTTATTTATAAAATTTACACATGGATAATGAAGTTCTGAGTCTTTGATGATCTGTTCATAGGCTCAATATGAGACTCTAATTGTCATGATAGAATTATTTCCTGATTTGTGGCCTTTACTAAGTCTTCTAATATATGGATAACATTATCGTATCATATTATTTATTCAATCCACATGAAACAAAGGATAAGATATACATTTATCAAATTCTTATTATTTTCTTTTCTTATTCAACTCATTTATCTTATATGTTGTTATCCAAATCACCAAACAAACCCTAAAATATATACAATTAAAGAGATAAAAAAAAATTCAGTTCGAATATAAATACATGTGAAGAGATTAAAAAGATTTTGTATTTCATAGTTTCAAATAGTATAAAACTTATGCTTTATCTGCTTTCTGCATGTACAACTGAACTATATAGGTCATTTCCAAATGTAGCTTTAGGATATTGTAAAAATTTAGAAATTAAAACGTTAACCGATGCATAACACTCGCATCGCATTGCAAGTCGGATCACGAACCATTCACTCAAAAAGGGCATGATCCACCAATCAATCATTATCAAATCCATTTAAAAAATAAAAATTCAAAAAAGAAGATAAATATCATCAATATACCAAAAAATAAATATCTTGAAAGTTTATCACATTGCCACGTTCTGGAGGCCCCCACGTGTTATCCACTCCTATCTTGTGTTCAACAAAACCCTCGTAGGGCTTATCGAACTTGAGTAAATAAAAGTACCCGCTTCTGTTGCCATCTGTTTTCTATCCTTTTTTGGTATCCAACAATTCTGATGAACCACCTTCTTTTGTTGATTTCTTTCTCAACTCGACTTCACATGTCTTCATCCTCATAGAGCTTCTTGACTCTCTGACTCTTATGCTTTCTTCTACCTTTTATCAATCCCCTTTTTCCCATTTTTGTTCTTCTACCCTATTCCACCCACATCCCCTTTTCAATTTTCTGATTGAAAAGGATCCCTTTTTCCTTTACCCAATTCAGTTTGTATTTTTTTATTCATCAAAATTTGCAGTGATCTCATTAGATTCTTGATACTGAAAAAGGGGAAACTTTTTATGTGACCCACGCACCTATTTTTAATGCACGGGATTCCCATGATTTTGATTGTTTTCTATTTGGGTTTCATGATGATTTCCTTTTAGGTGCTACTTTCTTTTTCTTTTCTTTTTTCTCTGTGATCCGTGGAAGAACTTGGTGATCAGACATGGGTTCAAGAGTTTCTCCCAATCCCAAATGTTGGCATTTCAGAACCCCTTATTCTCCCTGTAATTCGTGGAAGACACCTAATGCAGTTCCTTCTTCGAAACTGAGGAACAATGCCATGCCATGTCGTTTTGTCTTTGGGTCTGCCTTCTCTAGCTCCAAGAATTTGAGGGTGCAAAGAGTAAACCGTCCCTTCTCTGCCCATTTTGATGACTCTTACCATGAAGAAATGATGAACCTGATTCAGGATGATGATGGTGATCAAAATGCTAACGAAATTGTTTATGCTGTCTCTGGTAATACCCAAAACAGAGAATTCAAACATGTCTTAGAAAAAGGTTCCTCAGAGAAGTTTTTAACCATAAAGCCTGATCTTTTGGAGCCTTCTCTTCTGGGTATCCAGCCTGAGCCACCAAGCTGGCCAGAAAGAGATGAGATTTTGAGACTTACCTTCGAAAGGAAAGTGAACATTGTGGAAATTCCTTTATCAATTCGGATGATCAAGAAGAAGCTACAATTGCAGGAGGCTTCTAAAGAGGCTGGTGAATTCACTGACTGTTCTGTGAAGAAGACCTTCTCCTCTATGTTGTTTATCATCCACGAGCTTCAAAATTATGCCTTGCAAACCATGGAAAGCCTTTGCTTTTGTGAAGACTGGCAAGATGTCATGGCCAAGCTGCAGAGAGAAATGGATGCTTCATTTGTGTGGCTCTTCCAGCATGTTTTTTTGAAGACCCCAACTCACATGGTCCACTTGATGGTCCTCCTTGCTAACTTCTGTGTATTCTCTATGAGTAATAACACTGTTATGGCAGTCATTCCTTCGTCCATGAGCACAAATGCTCTATCCTCTACCAACAATAAGAATGAACAACAACATTCACAAGTTGATGCTGATGTTGATCAAGATGAGCAAGTAAAGGAGGATCTGACAGAAGAGGAGGACATGTTATGGGATTCCATGCTAGAGGAAGCTTCAATGTTGCAAAAGGAATTGATGACTGAGGCTTTTGACCATCGGTTTGTGGCTCCAGTGTCTGTGGAGCTTGAAGGGGATCAATACGAGGAATATGTCAAAACTGAGCATTATTACCAAAAACATTTGCACGGGTCACCTCACAATTCCCTTCTGCTGTCTAACTATGCACAGTTCCTCTTCCTTGTAATGCATGACATAGATGGGTGAGTTCTCAAAAATTAATTTTGTTATAAAATATTGTTAGTATTAAATAATGTTGCATTCTTTGGTTATCCTCTTGATTAGCGAGTAAGACTATTAAAAAAAAAAAGGAGGAAAGAATCATGTTGCTTGTTTATTCTCTTCATGCAATGAAGGGGTGATTAGTTTCTGATTTATTTTTGTCTAGAGTGGATGGAAGTGACATTATGCAATGTTGACAGACAATGAGAGTAATACTTGACTTCTTGTTATTGGGTGAATGGGATGTAAATGCATGCTCAAATTTCTTCTTTAACCTCTTTGAAGAAGTCTACAAGGTATTCTATTACTGATTTATTCTCCCTTTTTTTTTATACATTGATATGGGTTTGCAGGGCAGAAGAGTACTACAAGCGTTCGGTGCTGGCGGAGTCACCGGAGGCCGAGGCATTCAGTCGATACGGTGACTTCTTGTTGTTGGTAAGAAAGGATCTTTGGGCAGCGGAACTGAGATATAAGCAAGCATTGGAAGAAGATCCTGGCAACACTTATTATTTATCAAAGTACGCCAGTTTCCTTTGGAACCATGGTGGACAAGATAATACTAATAGCTTTCCCTTAGAAGAACTCGACAACATACAATTATGACATTGTCCATATGATCCATCATTATAGCTGAGTGATGGTACGTTTTGGTAAGGCATGACATGACCAACTTGTACATCCCACTTGCATTTTAAGTTTTATATAGTTGTTAATTGCAGTTAGTAATTCATGGAATAATTGTCTCTGTTTATATTTAAATATGAAGATGTGTCAACCAAGAAATGATACTAGCTCAAAATTAAGTTCATGAAGGAAGCAAGAGTTTCCAAATCTACTCTTGAGACTAGAGTGTCCCATCCAAAATAATTTGTATTGTCAACCTATTTACAGAGAAATAATATCGCTTCAACTGCAGATATATGCTACTTTGTTGAAACCGCTAATCATAGATTCATTGATTATAGCTATATCTAGCAAGTTTCTATAAAATTGGATTTGATGATTTTACTGTCTATGCACTGAGAGGGGCATTGGCTTTTATCAAAAGGGCCACTTGAAGATTAAAATGGCCGATGGTACTGGTGCTGTAATTGCATAACAAATATTTGAGAAGACAAAAGGCCAAGTTTTCTCTGTACCAATTGCTCGAATCATCTTATTAAACGTGAATGCAAAGTAGAATTGTTCATGAAAAATCAATTTCTTATTATAACTCAACAATTTTACGCAACGCGAATCTCGTACTCGCGAATGGGGTGATGGTGTGTCACGTTCATATTTTGTTGAATTGGATGAACGTGTGCAGTATTGATGATTTGGATGCGATCGATGGTGTTGATTAGGATGAACAACACAACTGTTTGTGATGGCGTATAATGCACATCGAGTGTGGTGATGTGATATGGGAGAACCAATGTATGGATAAATCTTTAGTCGAACCCATCTTAAATAAGGGACATTCTAGATTAGGGTGAAAAGAACACTATCTTTGTTGTGGTGTGGGGTGGGGGGAAGTGAAATACTACCGTTTCACTTACAAGAATATAATATTTTATCGTTTAAAATGATAACCACTTTTTTAATAAAGAAAAATAATTAATTATATTATATTATTTCATATGATAAATATTAAAAAAAGGTTCTTACCAATTAAATTTATCATTTTTTATCATCAAATTTTAACTGTTAATTTTTGTCAATTTGATGGTTATAATTTATTGAGAATTAATAATTAATTAGTACATGTCATCTAATAAATTATAACCATCAGATTGACAAAAATCAACGATTAAAATTTAATAATAAGAACTGATAAATTTAATGAGTGGTAAACGGATCCCTCCCCGTTAAAAAATGTCAAAAGTATCAAAAGAAGTTCTGTATCGGACAATAAAGACACTGGTATAATAGAGTGAGAGTTGAAGATGAGGGATAAAAAAAGAGATATAATACTAGCAAATTATAGTAATTTAATTGACGTATGAGAGCTGAGCAAGTGAAAGTGAGAGAATATGTTCGATCTTTCACAGTATCATCTTTTAGAGGAATTTAAAATTTTAATCCTAAATCAGTTCCGAACAGGATTGTCTCTCATAAAAAATGCATGTAATTTATAGCAATAAAAAAAATAATGGAAGCTAATAAAGAAGACTATTCCTTGCCTCAAATTTATAACTCACGTTACAAAATATATTATTTTACTATATTTTTATTCAACTTTACATCATTAGTATTTCTTTGAGAAATTTTGTTTCGGCAATTTGTTTTGGAGCTATTCTATAAGCCATTTTATGAGCCTAAAGTTAAGGTCGCTAACTTTGTTACATTTGTTGGGCTACTTAAGGATTTGTTACAATTCAAAAATTGATCAATGCAACCAGACAAGGCCCAATCCCTTCGCTCACTCGATTTTAAAAAGAGGCAGCACGTCAAGTAAAGGGATATTTTTTTAATACTACAATCGGTATATCCATTTATTAAAATGGATAAATTTTATCACTTTAACCCTTGTTTTTTTTTATATTCCTTTTTATGTTCCAAAAACTTTCCTGTAGCTACAACATGTGTATCCAAAGTTTGCTCTAAATGAAGAGCAGTCTCACAGAGGGAGGGAGATTCACTAGCAAGGGTGTAATATCCCTTAATATTCTACAATCAATTGCTTAATATTTTGAGACAAAAAGCACCCCAAGATGCTGCCTTGTATTACAAATCAGTAGTACAAGAAATCAATCTAAGGAATTTGCTAAATTAGCTCTCCTCTCTAAAATGCATGAATTGTGTATAAGATTAAATATTTTACAGCTATGTAACTAACGTGAATCAAGTAACTCAACTAGCTACTAATTGACCATAGTGGAATTTCTAAAACTGCAAATAGAATCAAAATCCAGCGTTACCAAAACCATATATTGCGGCTATCAACAGCCTTCACCGAGGTAGATACCAAGGGCATCCGGCCATACACGGCGGCAAATCTGTTGACACACTCTGTTCTTCTTTCAGTGTGACCTCCCAAACTACTGATTCCAGTTGATCCAATCTCAAATATTTTACCTGTAACAAAGAAAAAATTTACGAGGTTAACATACGTGTATCTATGTAGAGGAGGCACATACCAGCATGGTGTTTTACAACTAATGAGGACAACATAAGATCAAGCATTAGCATGGAACTACATAAACAGCAATGTACTTGCCACTTGAGCATTAAGACTGGCGTGATAATAATACAAAATTTGTCACGGTTTCAAAAATAAGTCGCATGGTGAAACACAACATGAATCATTACGTTGTTTCAGTGATCACCAAAAGCAATTAAGATAACTGAAAACATATTATGATGAACTCATAGCTAGTCGTGCATTGCACAATTATGTTGATAGAAAGGATCACATAATCAATTCTATAACTTCGTTAATAATAAAATAAAACATACATGTTCTAATAAGTTGAAAATAATTTCATCCTCAATTTTAGTTGATTTAGCAAATTGTGGAATTCAGCCGCATTATACACGGTATCAAATCCATCCTCTAAATTATGACTGGGAAAGGCGAGGGCACAAGTTAAGAAGGGACAAGCAGTCAAGGAGTAGTTTCACTGAAAATCTGAAGCACAGCTGCTTTCTTTTACTAATGGTACCTCTTTATGTATGCTAATAAGATGTCAAAACACCATATTAAGTGAGACAGAGAGGAGAGAGGAAGTACCTCTAAATGAACACAAAAAACTACAACTAGTTCTAGCAGTCAATAAGTAGAAAGCACAAATATGAAATGCTTACGTGTTTCTTTTGACATTTCAAACATTTACATATATCATTTATTGGCGCTCCCCAACCACAAATCAATCTTACAAATGTAAGGAAGTTGATGAATCCCTAAGTGGGAGAACTTTATCATTAGAGAAAATTCACTGGGACGCAAGGGTATTATACACTTTGAGCTAGTGAAGTGAAGAAACCTCTGAACTAAACAAGCAAGAAATAAAAATAAAAAATTTATGCAACTCATGTTATATGGCATTGCTTAAAATTCTTAAGTACGTTCATCAGTATATGAAAAAAAAAAATCAGAAAATTAAAGAATATGTTTCTGATGAATCAATTACCTTTAACCCATATGGGAGGTGCACCAGTTGCATTTGCAACAAGGAAAGACATTGCAATATCTTCACAATTCCTGGTAAGTTAATTGAATTATTAAGAAAATAAAAAAAAGTTGGAATCGAAGTTTGAAAAATTGAAGTCTGCTAAAAAGAAAGAAGTGAGTGATTAGTTAGTCCAGACAAAAACCTGTTCTTGATTACATATTCTCTTATTGATGCTGGCATCTCATTTGTGTAGAGAATGAAATACTTTTTGTGAAAGAACGCTGCCTTGGAGAGCACCATGCTATATGTACCAGTCCACCACACTGACCACCATCCCCCATATCTAAATTTGTTGCCATCACCTTTCTGCAATCACATTGAATAACTTGAAAGATTAGCCTTAGTTTTTCCTGACACAGCACTAAACTCAGGAAAAACAATAAAGGTAATCTAAACGATTGCAGAATTATGAATCAAACATTAAATTAATCATTAAGGTTCACATCAACTTTATAAATGCACCAAACAAGACTAGCAGTTTCTTTAAGCATGGATTTAGGACTAAGAGATGAAGTTCTTTCTTCTATAACATAAGTTCAGCTTTCTTTTCCTTTAAATTAGATCTTCTCACCAAGAATAATATAACAGCCCCCAGTTTATGATGAGGGTCAATTTTAGAAACTAAATTACACATAAGATATAAAAAATGTTCTATTTTTGTTGTTTTGATGCCAGTCAGGAATTATGATCAAATTTGAAATGGATCTCCACTCCATATGTTTCAGAAAAGTATGCTTCCTATGTTTTGCAAAACTACATCATGAAAGGTAAATACTATTAGTAATCGAGGAAGTTAGAGGCCCAAAATCACAGTGCAAACAAAGAACACGGTAAAAAAAAAAAAACCAATTCCCCCTGAACCCAGATTTGGAAGGGTAGGGACAACGGAAATCCTTGTATTTTTTGCAGAAAAGCTATTAAGTGGATTCAAATCCATGACTTCTCAGGTTATAAAAAAGCAGCTTTACCAAAAGAACAAGAAATAATTTATGAAAATTAAAATAAAAAAGTATTGACTTGCTCCATGCTCAATTGATCATTCTCACTTTCTCATGTTAGAGCTCCAAAAGTAGAGGCATAAAAGAAATATTGTGCGACCAAAATTATCAGGGAATAATAGACAGTCATTTGGTAAAAGAAAGATAAGCCATACCAATGAATCCATCCAATGAACACGAGGTACAAATCCCACCATTGTATCAGGTGCGCTTTGCCAAACATCAAATGCAAATTCCACCGAAGAGCAAGGAAATATGACATCATCATCAATAGAAAAAACAGCATCTGTCTCCAAATCCTTAATTTCTTTAAATCTATTGTTCAAACTGTCTTCCTTGTTGACATCAAACTTCAATTTCACATGTTGTCCATCTATAGACTTGGTCTTTACAACATGGCGTAGAAATTTTAAAAGAATATCTGAAGGAGGATTGGGTTCACTCCACACAATATGTATTGATTCAAGTCGAGGACATGATGAATAATGCTTGATGGACTGCTTTAGGAGATCATATCTCTTCCATGTGTTCATTACGATAGAATACCCTTTCCTGTGAACAAAATATAAACCGACAATGACTTCTCTGATGTTACAAGCAACATAGGCTCAGCATTATTTAAGAAAATAAAATTTAGAATTAAAAAGCCAACCTCCAGACTACTTCCCCTCATTTGTGTAACAACGAGATGTGAAAAAGGAATGGGGCACTTAATTTTCGAATGAATTATCTCTGACTAGTGTAATTACAAAGGCAATTATGCCAGCAATCAAGCATATTGCAGAGTCAGTAGCAGAGGACCTACAAATGCTACAATTGAAAGATTTGATTGGAACACTAGATTCTGAATATGATCTAAAATTTGAAAGGTGCCGTCATCATTCTCAGAATCTCATTTCGCACTACACTACACCCAAAGTCATGAGCTAGGTTAAAAGCTAAACCACAAACCCCAAATTGTGTTTTGTTTACCCTTTTTCCAATTCCGGATAGTAAGGTGAATAAGAAAGCTAATCAAGAAGAGATGATTTCTGGACAATAGTACCAAAGAGCATTTAAAGTCCAGGTAATGGCCCCGGTGTCCCAATATGAATAATAGTGATATCAGAAAGTTCCCAAATATCAATATTCAAAATCCCCAGCACCAAGAGCTTATCCAGGCGTCTAAGCTTGTGAAACAATCCATCTAAACAACACCGATCACCTTAACATATTGTATCCAAAACGATGGATGCTAAATATTATGTTTATCTCCCTATTTTCTATCTACCACGAACTTTACTAGCCTTTAAAACCAGGAAATCAGCTACTTCTATCAACCCTGCAAATAAAACCCTACAAACATACCCCCACTAGTTGAAACCTGGCGAAGACATGTTCCGATATATCTCAAAAAGCATATCCTGTTTTGACTATCAATCGACAACTTATATTTTATTTTATTTTCTTTTCCTTCTAGATTTTTTCCCATATTAAAAAAAAACAAGAAGACGACGAATAAAAATCAAACAGAACCTTAGTTGCTAACTCTTATATGGAAACTTCTAAAAGGGGAAACAAGAACTGTGTATGTTTGGCAGACAAAATTTCTTCCAATAAACAAAATTTTACCAAAACTGAATCGATATTAATCATTACACGGTGCTATGGTGAAAGCGAACCTTTTCTTTTTTCTTCTTCCAATTATGTTAGCTAAAATAGAAACTACAAAACTAACAAGCGGAGTGGAGTATATTATATATTAATTACGTAATTAATTATAAAACTATAAAAAAAAAAGTTATTAATTATAGGAATAAATAAAACCCAAATAGACAAATGAAAAAATAAAAATAAAATAAGCGTATCGGAATTTAACGAACCTCGAATCTGGGAAGCGACGAATAGGAGGAGTTTGATTATTCCATAAGACGAAGGTGGAAGCACTTGTCGAGAACGCGAGAAGCGTTAACGCAACGCAAGAGCAGAACAGAATCTTGATCTTCACTGATTTAACGGCGGAGATCGCGTGTAAGCGAAACCTCTGTTCTGTACGACGGTTCAACCAACAGCTCCCTCTCATCACCGCGACAGTGGAACGCGAATCCAAACCAAAGCCGATGATCTCTCCGAGTCGAACCGGTCCGGTTCAGCAGCGAGCCGATGCGCTATCCATTCCGAGTCGGAGCTTCGTAAGCAGACGCAGGCACGCACGGAATCAGGTTCAGGTGAGAAGAAGAAGAAGAAGAAGAACGGGGAAAAGTAAAACAAGTTGATTGGGATTTGAATGGAACGAGGTTGCTTTATGATACCGGCTTTGACATGTAAAACTGAAGAGGAACGTCGTATAGTGTCGTACTGATTGTTCAAATTTGTCGTCGTCTGTCTCTGTGTCTGTCACGGTCTCAGATCCCATTGAAAGGAACAGATGCGAAAAATGAAATCAAAGGTTCGTTTTTCCATCGCATTAGGTTCCTTCTTTGAACAACATTTTGTGAGTGTGTATCAATCGCTCCATACACGAAAATCAGGTGTTGGGTGCCACGTGGGCGCTTACTTCACCGTCTGATTATGAGATCGGAGTAACAGTATCCCGCCGCCTCAAGTGTTTTTCTGTGAATGATGCCTTGCTTCACACCATCATGATTTTGTGAGATACGAAGGGGATGTGATTGGAATAAAATGGGAACACCGACTAAAATAACACTATTCACCAACTTATTTTTTTACCTAAATGCCACGCGAACAGTGTTATTTCTCAATCTGTCACGGGGCAAGTTCACTTTCCGGTGTAGCAAACTCGGTTTGTTGATGTGTCACGTTTCTAGAGGACACCAACTTAATTTTAACCAAGTTCGCCTACATGCTAGGCGAACTTCAATTTTTTTATTTTTTTTTTTAAATTTGATACTTACCATTAAAAAATGTGACACAACAGCAAACTGAGTTCGCTACACCGGGTAGCGAACTTGCCCTCGTGGCAGATTGAGAAAAAACATTGTTCACGTAACATTTAGGTAAAAAAATTGGTGAACAGTGACATCTTGGTCAGTATCCCAATAAAATGAGCTCAATTAAATTTTTTTTTTTGAATGCAAGAATAAAATCAAATTATATTTGATTCGCATCAAATAACTGCTATTTAGTAATTTGCGGATGATTAAAGCGCATAGATATAACTGCTCGAATAAAAGAAGGAAAATTAACATAAAATACGGTAACAATCATTATCGCATAAAAATATAATTAAATTTGATAATTTCCAAAATTATAACTTCCCGTAATATTTTTCAAAATATTCTAATTTGATTTCACGTTAAGAAGTTAATTTCTTCTAAACTTAATTTGTATTATCTTATTTCATTGGCTGCATTGTTTTTGGTATTGGAGGAAATAAAACTATCTTAGGTGATCTGTGAAGTTGGTTTCTCTAAAACTGATTTTTTCAATACATGCTTTGTTGAAAAAGATTGTACTCACGATCTCCCATGATCTTTTTGTCTCGAATGCATTGGTCCTTGATTTTCGATTTGAGGATATCTTTGAAATAATTTTCAAAAAAAAAAAAAAATGAAGAAGTCAATTTTTTTAATAATTTAATGTGAAACAAAATTGGAGCATTTTTACTATTTTAGAAATTATCGCATTATATTATATTATTTTTGTAAAAGTAATCCTAGTTAATTGTGTTATTCGAAATAACGAGAAAAGTAAAAAGAAAAGAATTGAGTTCATCATAAATTGTACGGCCTTGACTAAAAGATAGAAAAACATATATAACTTACGGAAGCATGTTTATCGATTATAGTTTGGTATTGGTATAAACTAGTAAAACACAATTTATATTGACTTTGCTAATGCGGCAATGCCAAGTGTCTACGTTGTATTACTTAAAATAGTAATAATAATAATAAGAAAAGAATTAGGTGATCATAGATTGTACGACATAACTAAAAGACAAAAAGACATACGTCAACTTACGGGAGCATGTTTATTTATGGCGAGTATCAGTTAAAAATGGTCCAAAAAAATTATACACGCTTTGCCAATGCGGCAAAGCCAAGTGTCTAGAATTAGGAATATGCTGATATGGATCTCAGTGATTTTATAACATATCAATTTACATTCGATATAAAAATAATAAATTTTAGAGCAATGTTATTTTTATATTCTAAAAGTTTTATAATTTCTTATAACTTATTTTTTTACCGTTGATTTTTATCAATCTAACGTTATAATTTGTTGAAAATTAATAATTAATAATAAACGTGATCTGATAAATTATAATCGTTGAATTGAAGAAAATCAATGGTGAAAAAATAGGTTGTAAAGCTTTTAGGTTATAAGTATAACGCTCCTCTAAGTTTTATATCAAATTTTAATCGTTGATATATTGGATCATACTCATTAATTAATTATCAATTTTCAAAAAATCATAACCTTTAAACACATGACAATTAATGATTAAAATTTAGTGTAAGACTTATTAAATTGATCTTATTCCATTAAATATATATTGATAAAATATTAGGAAGTATGCATAGAAAATTTGACTTTTTAATGAAATTCAACTACAGCATTTTGAAAAGTATTTCAAAAATATAAATATTTTAAAGATTATTAAATTAAGTTACAATGTTTTGGTAAAAAAAAATTGATTTATTTTAACAATAAAAGACAAGAAAATAATGGAGTTGACATGGCTTAATTAAAAGAAATTGAACAGTTTACTATTGGTTGAAATTAGTAAAAAGATTATATTATATAGACTTGGCCAATGCTGCGATGCCAAGTGTCTAGGATTAGGAATTTGCTGGCGTGGACTCGAGTGATTCAGAATTGGCAACTAAAGTCTAAAGATATACTAATCAAAAGAGCAAGTACTATTTTTTTTTTTTTTTTTTTTGATAAACAGAGCAAGTACTATTTAGTTTTGTTTTACTTTGCATTCATCGTGGATTATGTTTTAGAGTATTAACGCTTAATTTTTTTTATCATGCATCATAATTTTTTATTTTTTTATTTGTGATATTGATCTTTAATCAAATTGTATATGAGAAAGCTGAAATATAAAAGCAAACTACACCTGTACATATCATTAGTGTAATTTGTAAGGGTTTGGTGTTTGTCATTTTAAATGACATAAGTTATGTCATTTTAGAAGAGAGATAGACACAGAAAAACGAAAAATCATGGGAGAGAGAAAGTGGATAGTTTTTTTAATTTAAAATTTAAATTTTCTGTGTCTGTATTTCTCTTAAAATGACATAACTTTCTATCATTTAAAATGACAAACATTTTTCCCAATTTGTAATGCTTAAAGAAACACTTATCTAAAATTAAAATAAAAAATTTACTTAATTACTTATTACGTTATTGCTCGTACTTAATTAATCAAACGCGTTGATTTTTATTTCTTTTTAACTTTTCGGTAGGGGTGGGGTTGTTGGTTCGAGGGATTCAACGTGGATACTTTTTTCCCTTTAAGAACACTTGTTTGGTCCGATTTTCATTTTAATATCTCTGCAATTTTAGGGTCTGTTCTTTCATTACTGCCCATTTAGTTTTGTGCCGATTTGGACACCCCTGGATGCATTTAATATGGAAATACGCATAATAATAATGTAACTGATAAATATTTATGTAATTAATGTTTATATAAGTTGATTAGAATAAATTAAATAATAACTAATATATTACCACTTGATCTAAAAAATTTATGTGTTTGATTAATGGAAAATCGTGATGTATTAACTGTTGATTGATTTAATCTACCTGATTTTGATACAAGTATTTTTTAAGTAAGTTAATAAATAGTCTAAATAATATAAAAATATAACTAAATTTCATTAAATTATTTTCTATGAAAATATTTTGAAAATATTATTACGTTAAACTTCTCTCTTCAATTTAGTGGAGGTACTAAGAAATAATAATGTTAAAAAAATTAATTTCTTTTTTATTTCTAAAGAGTCAAATAAAATAAAACAATTTAAAAAAAAACTACTAATATTTCAAAACAAATGAAATATTGTTTTAAGATATGAAGGGCTCGAGTATGAGTAATCTAGCAACTTTAAATATTTTGTTTGATTAATTGGCTTTGATATAGAAATTAAGAAATATTAGTTTAGTAGCATATCGACGCTTTTTTGTGATTATGATGTGAATGAACTAATGACATGGCATCCTAAAACAAATAATTTAATGATTATAAAGTGGATGATTATATAAAAAGTTACGAATATTTTTAAAATAAAATATTAGTATT